TACAATTAATGTACCGGTATATCTTATTACAACAGGGGTGTCAAACTCAGTTTTATTGAGGGCCGCATCAGGATTATGGTTGACTTCGGGGGGGGGGGGGGGGAGGGATACACGTGTGTGTGTGTGGGCATGGCCAGTTCCCATTGCCGCTGTGCTCGCTCTCCTTGGCCAGGTTACTCATGGTGTGTGCAGGAGGGCAAAGTGTGTGGGTCAAAGGGAGCCCTACTCCATCTCTTTATGAGAAGACCTGGCTTTGTAACCAAAGTATCCTCAGTGATAGGATGAGAGACCACCAGGAGAGGTCAGGAGGGGAAAAGGGGATAGGAAAAGGTAGCAGATGCTGGTGGCCAAGTGTTAAGGCAGGATTTACCTTCACTCTCATTATAATCTTCCTTTTTTCCTTCCAGCTTCATTTTTTCTTTCTTCTTCCTTCCCCTTTTTCCTTCCTTGCTCTCTTCCCCTCTTTCCTTGTCCTGTTTTCTGCACTGGAAATAGCTGTTTGCAACACACAAGGAAGGGATACTTTCCTAAGAGCTCACAATTCAAGAATACCAATGTGCACATGAGGTATCAGGGTGGGGAAGGCCATGGGGGGCTTAGTAATAGAACAGGCTCTCAAGACCTCCCTGACCCACTAAGATACCTCATGCTTCTCCCTCCCTTCCTGCCACAAGGACTCACCTTGCAAACATCTGTCTCCTCGTTTTGTTTCTCTGTTTTTTTGCCTTTACTTTGAGGAAGGAAGAGGAGAGTTGGCTGGGAATGTCTTTCATGCTGAGAATGGATGCTCCTGGATGCTAAAATATCGCACAGATTCAGGCACCCATCCTCTTTTGCAGAGTCAGGGACCCAGAAACTTTCATTCTTGGTGCGAGAAGTGTTTGCTGGTCTCATGCTCCTCCCTTCCCAACTACTTTCCACTTAATTACTTAATGAAACCTCATTGTCCCACAAAGCACACTTGCATGCAAATGGGGCAAAACAGAGAGAGAGAAAGAAAGCAATCCAATTGTGTGCGTGTTTATGGGAGAGATCGATCCGTACAGGGCACCCAAGCTGCTGGCAGTGACGTGGGTGACAGGAGCCACGTGAGCAGTGAGGTGGAGTGGTGGTGGAGTATGAAGCAAGGCGGGGGGGGTACAGAGCTGTCCCCCTCGCCCCGCACTGGCTTACCTGAGTGCCCTGCCAGCCAGGCACTGAAGCGCCATAACTGCTACTGCAGCAAGGCAGAGAGGGGGTCTCTCTCTCTCTCTCTCTCTCTCTCTCTCTCTCTCTCTCTCTTCTCTCTCTCTCTCTTGTGTGTGTGTCTGTGTGTGTACATGAGAGAGCAAGCATGCGATCCTTGCTTTAGTCGGGGCATTGAAGCTGCTGGCAGCGGCAGGGGGGAAGAGCCAACTGAGCAGTCGTTTTTCTCGTCCTCCCCACTCAAGCAGCGCAGACTCAAAGCAACAACAGGGCCTCTCATTTTTCTCCCACCGCAGCAAACTCCAGCTTCAGTCAGGGCATTTAAGCTGTTGGAGGTGGCAGCCACCTAATGATTGCCCCTTCCCCAACCATCCAGCACCACCTGACCTGTTTCTTGCTGGCTGGCACAAAACCTCGCTGTTCTTTTCATCCTCCCTGTCCAAGTGGTAGTGGGCTCCAAACCCATTTATTTAAACAAGCCGGGCTGGCTTAAGATGAAATTTTTAACTGTTTTTAAATGTTTTAAACGTTTTAATTGGTAAATGAGTTTTAATTGGGCCAAATTTATATATCTTTTAATTGTTTTTAATATTTGTTCTGCATGTTTTTTAATCTGGCTGTACACCGCCCTGAGTCCTCAGGGAGAAGGGCGGTATAGAAATCCAATATAAAATAAAATAAAAATAAAAGGACAGGGTCTCATTCCTGCTCCGGCGCAGCGAATTCTGGCAGGATGGATGCGGGTGTGAAGGGCCTGGCCCCACAGTGCTTCCTCGCTCAGTTGAAGGCTTCATTCAACCTTCAAACAGTAAGACTGGCCCACGTAAGTGAGCAGCGCACCAGGGCCATGGATGGCGTTGGTTCCTGCACCCAGCTGATTCAGATTCCACGGCCAGCCTTACTGTTTGAAGGCTGAATGAAGCCTTGAGTGGGGAGGATGAGGAGAAAAACAGCTGCTCAGTTGGCTCTCCCCCCACCCCCACCGCTGCTGCCAGCAGCTTGAATGCCCCGACTGAAGCAGGGATTGCACTCTCTCTCTCTCATACACACACACACAGAATTTGAAGAGACTCTCTCCTCTGTGTGTGTGTGTGTGGTGGCAGTTGCAGCGCTTCAATGCCTGGCTGGCAGGGCACTTAGGTAAGCCAGTACAGGGCGTGGGGGAGGAACCCCCTCTGCCTCACTTTGTGGCCATCGCACTAGTGCGTTGGTCAGCTTTCTGCTAAGTTACAGCACCCCAGCTTACCTGTGGGCCTTTCAGCCAGGCCAAACCCTCACTCCACCCCACCCGCCACCCAGGGCAGCCATATCCCTTCATTAATCTTTCCAGCTCTTTTCACCACCGCCACTTCTCACGAAAAAAAAAATTATCACGAGGTTAGGTCTGAACTATTTTTTTACTGTAATCCCACAGATTACTTTAGTTGTTCTGCACATGGTGACAGAGAACTGGGCCTGCGTGCACGCCCGTTGGGATGGCTGGAGCTGGGCTAAAGTGAGGCAGGCAGGACCCTTAGTTTCCAGGATGGCCACGCGGGCCTTGAGTTTGATACGCCTGTATTACAATATAACAAATACTAAAATTTCCCATCTGCAGGAAAGTTCATAAAGGTTTGTATCCAAAGCTGTTTTAAAATATTCCAAATGGGCTTTTTCCATTTGACATGGCTTCCAAATATATACATATTTCCAAAACCCTGAGATATGTTGTAGCTTACCAAGATATTATTTTTTTCATGAGTATTCAGTAGAATTCTTTCTAACATTAAGACTATCAGTTTTAAGCCACTCTTCATAATGTCTCTTTCTTTCCCTTTTATACTAGGTGAAGACACAATGCCATTTATCCAAAACTAAAGCATTTTTATGTAAACTATTGAGCGTTAGCCATATTAAGCACGGTGTGCTTTATTTCTAAGAAAATATATAATGGAATGTTTATTATATCATAAATGCAAACTAATAAAATTTTAAATTCAATTAAATCAGTAACAGGAAAAATATTTGAGCTCGATAAGCATTGCACATATTTAATCTGTCCCCTAACTTTTCATGCCAAGTCCACTAGGAAAAGCAAAAGAAAAAAAAAGTTTTAAATTTTGTAAAGATTTTAGATTTCTTTGGCCCTTCCACATGGAATCTCCATAGGAATGTGTGGGTATGACCACCAACCCACTTGTGCCAGGAGAGGAAGCATGCTGTTGGTCCTGTCGCCCCGATTATTACAGATGGTGGGATCCAGGAGAAGAGCCTTCTCTACTGTTGCTCCTGCACTCTGGAACATTTTGCCCCCCAATGTAAGTTGGCTCCAACCCTTCTATCCTTTGGTTTGGGTCCCAATGGGGAAAGAGTACAGTGCTTGATTGAGATTCCCCTCTCACCCCATTCTTCCCTGGTTCTCCTCATGTGTCCTTAGATTTTAATTTTAGTTTAAATTTATTTATGTTTTAATGTATATGTACAGATATATTTTTATGATTGTAAGCCGCCTAGAGTTACTCTATGGTAAGATGGGCAGCCAATAAATTTTATGAATAAATAAATTTTCTGTACATTCCTATTCCTTTTAGATTAACAAAGGTGTAAATTAGGATCTGAAATGTTCAGTTTATTGAATGTATTTTACTTCATGTTGCATATCTTATGATAACAATATTCACATTAATTTAAATATAAATTATCCTAGAATAATGGGTTACAATTCAGTTTTTCCATTAAAAAAATAATCTCATGAGTATAAACAGTGTACTTGCCACATGGTGTATATTGATCTGTGGGTCCACGCGACTCTTTATTTGCATTCATACCTGTGCAGTGCAAAAAGTTCAAATTAAACATTTCACATTTCATCAAACATCCTATGTTCTCTGCCCCATGGGGATAAATGCAGGGTTTTTTCCCCTGTAAAACCATTAGATACTCTTCCTGTCTATAAATCTGCAATTTACTCCAATCTTCTTTTCAATACTAAAGACTTATTGGTGACTGTACGAGATTTACATTTTTAAAAAGCCTGTGATGTATTTCAAATATGTAAGGCAAAAAGTGTATGCTTAGGCTTCTTTAGAAGTGGGAAATAATCAGCCGGAATCCAGTATTTGGAAGGAACTTTTGTGCCCAAATGGTTCACTAGACAAGGTGCAACACATCACAATTCTCATACCTTCACCCTTGCTATCAATACTTGCACACCACAACACTCTCTCCCTGCTATTCCTAATACAGATGGAAGGCAGGAAACAGAAACGACGTTTTGCATGTAGTAGACATAGTAGAAGTTCTCCGTTTTTAATCCCATCAACTCTCACCAGTATTATTTCAGGAAAAGAAAACCCTCTCCTGAATGATTTGACCTCAAAATCAAGGGCATACCGTTAAGCTCACCCAGTGTTTTTAGGCATTTTCAGGCGGCCAGATTGCCTACCTCGCAAGCATGTTGTGAGGAAAAAACGAACTCTTTCCCTGACCCTGGAAGGGCGGACTCCCACGGGTGACAAAATAACGAGGAAACGGGAGGGGCTGCTTCTCGCTCTACCGTATTTATAAGCTTTATTGTGAATTACTGTTATCCTCTGACCGGCAAAAAGCGTACCAAGGATCCCTGGAGGCAAACGCATTCGCTCACACGCTCACCGACCTCCACCGCCGCTGCCGTCGTCGCCGCGCTTGGGGTCGGGGAAGAGGGGGCAGAACCTCTCGCGCTCAGTGCCTTCCCGCCGGCCGGGAAGTTCGAAGCGAAACGACGAGTCGCGCAAGCTGCAACAACAAACAATCCCTGCTGCTATAGCAACACAAAACGTTCCGCCGCCCGTTGCCGCTCGCTCCTCGCTGGCTGGCTGTTGCTCTGGCGGTCCCGGGAGCGCGCGGAATGAAAAATGCGGAGATTACAGAGAGGCGGAGCTAATTGCCTCCCTTCAGCCAATCGGAAGGCGAACCGACGCCGGTGATTGCTGCCTGCTTGGCCAAAGAAACGGCGGTGGGAGCTTATCCGCGAGGTGAGCCGTGTTTGCCCTTCCTCCCTTCAGACCGCTCAAGGGCCGTTGAGTCGCCTTTCTCTTGGCTCTTTAGCGTAACCCTCGTTTTACAGGCTTTTTCTAGCCGCTGAAAGACTTAACCGTAGTTTTGCCTGGGAAACTGAGCATCCTGGTCAAAGCCAAGTCCACAAATACGAGATAATTTCTGGAAGCCTACATGGCAAATCAGTAAAGTGTACTACCACTATCACTAATGATATTACCTCGTCTGGTAATGAAATGTCTGCAAGAAAACAACCAGATTCAGGGTGCACTGAATCGGTGTTTTTGTTTATTTACATACTATAAATATGTATTCTGAGGAAGATTTTTTAATGAAGGTGCTTGTTAAAGTTGAGACCTCAATGGAATATATTGAGAAAAAGCATTTCTGCCATACAACCTTTGTGACTTTGTGCCACATATATAATTGTATGTTTGTCAGTAAACATCAAACTCCCTTAACAAATTCTCTTAAGGCTGCATTATTTTTACTTTGCAAGGCAACAAACTTTGTCAAAGGTTGTTCCCTGGGATTTCCTGTAATGCCAGAGAAAGAAATAGGAGAACTACAATTATAACAATCTTTTAGTGTTTGTTGACTCAACAATTCATTTTCAAGAATTAGTTTAAAAATAGTGAAAATTGGATGATTAGGATATTATTGTAAAAGTTAGGGGTGAGCTGTATAAGACTGTTCATTTTTTTAAAAAAAATATTTTTATTTTATTGAAAAAAGTTAAAATACAAAATGCCAAATTTTGTTTTAAAAAATGAAGAAAGATGAAGGGAAAAAACAGAACAAACAAGACATTAAAAAGAAAAAAGTGGATTAAATTGTTGAGTTTGGGGACTCCTGATAATTCAATATTGGAATGGTAGTCTATAGGCATAGCTTCTTGAGAGGCTGGCTAAGAATCAGAACCTATCCTGCAATATTTCAGATGATCCAAAAATGTACTGTTGCTGATGTTACTGAAAGTTACTGAGATATCTAATGATTCTACATGATATCTAGTTATTGTAGAGAAACATTAGTAATATCCTCTAAAACAGTTGTGTGTTGGATTTACAGTTAACCTAGTTTAAGCAGAGGAATCTGAAACAATCTAATGAAAACACTTTGTTTAATTAATTAATATATGTCAAAAAGCTAATTTGTAATATAGTTAAGGTCATAGAGGTATTTATTTATTCATTCATTCATTCATTCATTCATTCATTCATTCATTCATTTAATATTTGTTTATTTATCAAACTTGTATGCCACATATCTAGCCCAAAGTGACTCTGGGTGGCTTGCAGGCATTGAATAAATGCACAATAAAACAACCAATAAAGATCTTTCATTTAAAGATTCAGTTAAATTAAAATTAAGAAGGATGGAGATAGAGGGAGCAAAGTGTAAACAAGAAGTGGGGTGTTCTCTACTCGATTACACACCTCGAAAGTGCCACACACCATTAGGACCCCAGGCTAGTTGGCTTAATCATGTCTTCAAGGCCTTTTGGAAGATCAAAAGGGTGGGATTGGATCTTCTGGCTTCTTTTCAAGGGTAGTCCCATATAGAATGAATTGCAGTAATCTAAGCATGAGATGACTAGGATTTGCGTGATTGAATGCAGATTGCGACCTGGGTCTCTCTGGTTGTCTCAGCACAACCTCATCCAGAATTTAAGATGAAGACAAGCTGAAGAAGTGTTGTAATGTTGTGAACTAGACATGTGGTGCCTTAGCTATTGTATTACAATTATTTTTAACTAGCTGAATACCTGTGCTCCGCTACGGAACTATATGATCAGGCTTGATAAATTGACACAGCTTGAAAATTAATGAGTAGTTCCTCAGCCTTGCCCCACAGAAGCCTATCCTATCCTATCCCTCTTCTCTCCCTCAGGCTTGCTCCACAGAAATGTCTCCTATCTTATCCCCTTGTCTCCCTCAGGCTTGCCCCACAGAAGCCTCTCCTCTCCTCTCCCCTTCTCTCCCTCAGCCTTGCCCCATAGAAGCCTCTCCTCTCCTATCTCCTCTCTTCAGAGTTATTTTCAGGCTGGGACGGGAGTAGAACATCTAACTAATTAGAATCAGAGCGTGTTAATAATAATAATGTAAGAAATATTAATGATCTGATGGTCATTTTGAAAAATCCTTCCTTAGCGAGTACCTAAAAGCCAAGAGAAACATACATGCTAAATTTCAAGTTTGTAGGCTTTGCGGTTCTGGAGATTTCGTGATCTCAGCGTGAGTGGTTTTTTTTTTTTTTTAATTGCAAAAGTTCTACAATTATATTTTCACCCCTTTCCCCCCCCAACCCACCCCAAACTTCCCAACCTCCCTAACCCACCCTAACCCTCCCCTCCCCCCAGACTTCCGCACAATATACTCATATATCAAGTAAAAAAAAACAAAAAACCCTCCTTTATATAAAACTTGTATAAAACTTGAACCCCTCCTACCCCCTTATAATTTTTCATCTTCATTACATTAAAATATTTCTATCTTAATATAACATTTTCAAATAAAAGCTATTTGATACTTCCTAGTTTGATATTTGTTCTGAACATAATCTATCCACTTTTTCCATTCCCATTCGTAAGTCTCTTGTGAACAGTCTTTTAAATATGCTGAAATCTTCGCCATCTCTGCAAAACTGGCCATCTTCAAAATCCATTCCTCGATAGTGGGCAAAGCTTCATTCTTCCAGTATTTACCTATCAACAATCTCGCTGCTGTTATCGTGTACAATATCAATTTTGTTTCACCCAATGTAAAACCCTTAACTATACCCAATAAAAACAATTGTGGAGAAAATTGAATTTTTTTCTTCAAAACATTCTACATGACCCACCAAATTTTTATCCAAAAAGCGTTAACTTTCCTACAAGTCCACCAAACATGATAATATGTAGCATCTAAACAATCACATCTCCAACATTTTGGCTGAACATTAGGGTACATACACGACAATTTTTTGGGGTCTAAATGCCATCTATAAAACATTTTATAGAAATTTTCCCTCAAGTTCTGCGACTGTGTGAATTTAACATTCTGAACCCAAATTTTTTCCCATGTTTCCAACATCACTGGTTCCTCAAAATTTTGTGCCCACTTAATCATACAATCTTTAACCAATTCAGTTTCTGAATCCCTTTCTAACAAAACATTATAAAGCCTTTTAATATGCATTGGACCTTTCTCTTTTATGTGTCTAACCAATTCTTCCTCATGCAACATAATACCAGTTTTTTGGTCCTCTTTCCATCTCAATTGTAATTGATTATATTGTAACCAAGTTAAGTTAATCCCTTCGTCCAACAGTGTCTGTAATGTCTTCAACTGCCATCTGCCTGCATCTGTAAAAAGAACCTCTTTGTATAACCCCCCCCCCGAGTGACATTATATTTGTATTCCACATAATATGACCAAGATCCAGCCATAGCGGTATTTTATAATCCCATTTGAATCGGTGCTTCTTCCAAACTCTCATCAAAGAGTCTCTAAGTATATGGCTTTTAAATTCTTTATCCACTTTGTTGTCATAAAATAAGTAAGCATGCCATCCAAATTCAAGATCAAAACTTTCTATATTCAGTATTCCAGTCTTTTTCCTTCCAAACCAATCACTTGCTAGAGTCAAAGCTGCTGCTTCATAATATAACTGTAGGTTTGGAAGTTTAAGGCCTCCCCTTTCTGAAACATCTTGCATAATTTTCAATTTCACTCTCGGTTTTTTCTCGTTCCAGACAAACTTATTCACTCCAATTTGCCACACTTTCAGTTGTTTATCACTTTTAAGCACCGGAATCATTTGAAACAGAAAAAGAAATCTTGGCAAAATGTTCATCTTAACTGCTGCTATTCTTCCAAGTAAAGACAGCTGCAGTTTTTTCCAAGTCTCCATATCTTTCTGCACCTCTCGCCACAACACCTCATAATTATTTTGAAACAGTTTCATATTTGATTCTGCAACCTGAACTCCTAGATATTTTACCTTTGGTACAATCTCAAAACCTGCCCTCCTTTCAAGCTCGTGTTTACGATCTTGTGTCATATTTTTAGCTATCATCTTAGTTTTTTTCTGGTTCAGTCTAAAACCTGAAACTTTACCATAGTCTTGTATAATGTCCTTCATCTGGATTATTGATTCCATTGGCTGTGTTAGGGTAACGACCAGATCATCTGCAAATGCCTTTATTCTGTAATCCTCTTGCCTTATCATTATACCTTTCAAGATATTAGAGTCCCGTATTGTATTTAACAAGACTTCTAGTGTTAGAATAAATAGCAATGGGGATAATGGACATCCCTGTCTTGTTCCTTTTTCAATTTTAAACTCTGTTGTCAAACTTCCATTAATAATAATCTGTGCCTTTTGCTCTTGGTAAATTGCTGAAACTGCCTGCATAAATTGGTCCCCAAAGTCCATCTTTTTTAAAGTCTTTAATAGAAAATTCCAATCCACTCTATCAAAGGCCTTTTCCGCATCCAAAAAGACCAGCACTGCAGGTACCTGTTTATTCCTCTCAAGATATTCCAATAAGTCTATTACTTGCCTTACATTATCCTTCATATATCTACCCTCGATAAATCCCGCTTGATCATCATGAATCACCTTTTGGATTACTGGCATCAACCTGTTGGCTAGTACTTTTGCATAAATTTTATAATCAGTATTCAGAAAAGATATTGGTCTATAATTCTCCGGTTTTTTAGGACCTGCTTGCTCTTTTGGTAGCAAAGAAATATAAGCTGTTGTCCATGATGGGGGTATTTTACCCCCTTGTTGAATGTTACTGTCACTGCGTTATTTTATTTACCAGCTGAGCTCATTATTTCTGGACTGTCAGACTCTCCGTAGCTTTGCCAACTTCTTATCAGTAAGCTACATGTTTCCGTATCCACCCACATTCCTTCACTTGCTTCCTTCTCACACTCTTTCCTTTGTTCTCTTTCCAGAAAGGTCTGGCTAAGAGATAGCCGGC